TTTAACCTTTACTTAGTGACTATACTTCAAAGTATTCACAAGACAATAGTGTGCTTTGCATTAAACTTTGTCTCTTAAGCAAATACCGGAAATATATCACATATGTGTTATCCCAGATTTCAAAACTGTTCCAATCGTTTAGCACTATTCCGGCCTTGTGCTCTATCTTGGATTCATGAACATTTACAAGACTAAACCAAGGTCTTGTTAGGAACGGCACCATTCCTCATGTTCACTTAGGTGAAGTTCGAATTATATCTCTAGCTACTAAGAGACTCGAACTTCATTAAGAGTTAAAACTCAACCTCAACCACGTAGCTATTTTTGCACCGATATCCTGGAAGGGACTAATAAAAAGTTCGGTGCTAACCCGGTCATATAACAATAATTTGTTCTTACCCATTTAACTATGGAATAGCGGTACAACTATTACATAGTTGGGTTACCATCATTGGTGACTCTTTCAAAGAAAGGTTTCAGTCTCATTCCACTATATGTTTCTTTGACTAAGTCTCTTGAAAGACCTTTTGTCAAAGGATCCGCTAGGTTCTTGTTTGTCCTAACATAAACAATATTAATAACACCGTCGGTTATTAATTGTTTAACATATTCATGTATCAAGCTAATATGTCTAGACTTACCATTATAAACCTTGTTATAAGCTCTAGACAAAGTAGCTTCACTATCACAGTACAAAGAAATAGATGGCATCGGTTGTGGCCACAACTCAATATCAAGCAATAGATTTCTTAGCCATTCCGCTTCTTTGCCTGCAGCGGCAAGTGCTATAAACTCACTCTCCATCGTAGAGTGAGTTATGCACGTTTGTTTCTTAGAAGCCCAAGAGACGGCCTCCTCCTGCAATTGTAAAAATCCACCCAGATGTAATTTATTATCACTTGCACTTGTTATCCAACTTGCATCCGAGTACCCTTCAAGTACGGTCGGATAGTCATTATATGACAAACCCAAGTTAATGGTTCTTTTAAGATAACCAAGTACTCTTCCAATTGCATTCTAATGTTCGATGCCCGGGTTACTCGTGAACCTAGACATTTTACATACCGCAAATGCTATGTCGGGTCTTGTACAATGCATAGCATATATTAAGCTACCGATCGCACTAGCATATTCAAGTTGTGCCACAGCTCTGCCTGTATTTTCTAGTAATTTAATACTAGAATCATATGAGGTATTTGCTTCTTTAAACTTCAAATGATTGAATTTAAGAAGCACCTTCTCAATATAATGAGATTGACACAACGAGTAACCCCCACTATGCTTCCTCACTCTTACGCCTAAGATAGTATCTACTTCACCAAGATCTTTCTGCTGGTTCTCGAATCGAATTCGGGTGCGAAAGCGTGGCGGGGAGACGGATCGTGTATAACAAAAATTTTCATAAAACTTTTGAGATACTCTATAGATTATATTAATTTATGCACGAATAAATTAATCGCATTAATTTACATCAAGAACTTGATCCCGGAAAAAATATCAAATTTCTCATGTCATTGTTTTGGTGCTTGCTTTAAACCATAAAGAGATTTGACTAACTTGCATACCTTCTTTTCATTTCCAAGTAATACAAACCCTTCGGGTTGTTCCATATAGATTTCCTCATCAAGATCACCATTTAGAAAAGCCCTCTTAACATCCATTTGATGCACATGCAAATTGCATATCGATGCAATTGCAAATAGCACTCTTATGGATGTCAATCTAGCTACCGGAGCATATGTATCGAAATAGTCTATACCACGCTTTTGTTTAAAGCCTTTAGCTACTAATCTAGCTTTGAATGTTAGTATAGACCCATCGGTATTGTACTTTCTCCTAAACACCCATTTGTTGCTTATTGGTTTTGATCCCGGAGGAAGATCGA